ACAGTAATGGGGAGAGGAAATAAAAGTTTGATGGAATCAGCATATATTACTAATGGTGATAATCTTCTCTGCATGTATATTTAAAAGGACTCAAGTTTGCAACATACACAGACAATCCATACAATGTGTTCTTTTCTGAGATGACCTAACCTCCTTTTTCTCATTCCTTCCTTATTTCATTACATCAATTGTTGGCTAGTCTTAATTTACGCCTACATTATAACACATGCTGCTGCAGTTAGGAATGGAAATAAAATCCTTTCTCCTTCTCATAAGGAAGCATTAGCATTCTTGGTAGAAGAAAACTCTTATGTGAGGTAAAAAGAAAAAAAAAACTTAAGGTGCACATCACAAAACACATTGGCGGGACAGAGACATAAATGAATCAATACATGTAAGCAAGATTTTTGGAATACTCCTATATCCCACTTAGGTAGAATAAATTCAAATAAGAATGAATTGAATAAGAATTTGAGTGAATCTTTACGGAACTTATTCAAATTCCTTCCTCACTGAAGCACAGAGATACTGGTAAGGAACCTGTATTTGTTCCAGGTCTCTTCCTAACAAAAAAAAAAAAAAAATAAAAAAAAAAAAGGGGGGAGGGGGAATGCACTATTTGTTCCCTCAAAAGGATGAGCCCAATATGCTATTTGGAGATACAATCTCTTTAGAATGGAAAATGTCTCTTAATGAGTTTATCGGAGATGCAACAAATTGGATGTTCATTGTGATGATGGCTTCTGTGATGTTACAGAATGCATGAATCATGACTGTCTTTTACTTTTCTGTTCTCGTGCTACATAAATTCCCTGCCTTTGTATTTCAAAAATTTCTTGAAGGCTCTGTCTTTGTACTCTTACCACTAATGTAACTGAAATTATTTTAAATATTTGACATGCTGCGCACACGTGTAATTTTAGTGTTAAATACTTAAAAAAAAAGAAATTTTATTTCAAATTATACAAAATTAAAAATTATGGGAACAAAAAAACCCTAGTTGCACAATAATAACTTTTTACTGAAGACAGCTAGCCAAATATTTAAAGTCTGCATGAATAACTTCATACTAGAACTGAAATTAAGGAGGTTCTGAAAGTTCTGCGACAAACCTAAAAGACCAATATAGTTCCGCACGTAAAAATCAAAAGAACTATCGCAAGATTTCAGAGATGTGGAAAAATAAAAAACACAATTTGAGGTCTAACCTACAAGAAAAGTACAGATTGCATGAAATCCAGCAGCATGACATAATCTGCAGCTTAACTACATTCAACGGAATATCAATACTAACACCACATGCTTTGTCAGGAGAAATTTATACTGAAGTACGTATGAAGAGATCTTTCCAATAAAGTAAAAAGGAAAATGTACCTACTGTTTTGTCTGTCCCTTGATCTGTCCCTAATAGCTTCACACCCATGGAAGAACCTTCAAAATTAAGAAACAAGAATCTACAGAACTTAAGAACCTCTCAATTTCTTGTACCATATGATGTTCAAAAACAGAGGTTATAATTTATTTGGAATCAAAACCTTTCAGCCTAGGTTAGGTTCCCTATTTCAAGCAATATCTCACCTAAACGTCCAAATTTCAGAGTCACTGTTAACCCACAATCCTATTGAAGTTGATAAAGGCCATTCAGCATTATTCTAGCTTAGACGGCCATAATGAAAGCATACCTTGAAAAAAAAAAATAGCATCCCTTTTACTGACTATTGAATTTTTCATGAGTTTGAAGAAACTTGTAGCTACTTTATTTTCCTTGATTAGATAGCAAAACACAAATCCTTGAGTTGTCAGAGAGCTTAAAAAAAACTCACAGCAGATCTAAATACTTTCACATATCTTATTCATGGACTTACACAGGAAGAAAAAAAATATATGAAAGCAGAAAAGCAAAGGAAGGTCATTGGATTTCTGAAAGTATATTTAGTAGAGCTAGAAATGTCCTATTAGGATGTTTAGTCTACATCCTGTGGCCTTGTATTACAAAACAGTCTAATGATGCAAATATTTTCCCAAACACTTTAAATTACTAGTGAAATATTTTCTAAAACTGCAAAAAGGGATGTTAATGATGTTATCTCTGCTTCAGATAGTACGGTCAACATTAGGTGGTACTCTGCAAAATATTTTACCTACATTCTTTGTATGAAGAAGCAGAAAAAACAGAGCATAAAGAGTATAATACAGATGCTGATTCTTGAGGTAAACACAGCACATTTGAAGAAACTGAAATCTGCAGAAAAAGAAGCATTACCATGGAGACCATCAGGTTTTTCAAAAACCATAACTGATTGCAATTAGGTGCCTCACCAACTGACTCTTCCTTTATTTGCATGATATACCTGAAGATAAAAAATTATTTTCAGTGCTATTCTTTAGTAAATCAACATAAAAAAATTGGCCATACTAGAACTGAAAACAAAACTAATGCAAAAACTATACTTAATTTCTTATTGTAATCATCAGCATAACGCTGATATTTGAAGCACTATCTGCATAATCTTGTTCTGTTGTTAAACTAAAGCAAAGTGTGTTTGTTAGTGAACAGTAAAAGAAGAATGTTACTGATTTTCTTCTCTTTTTTAATCTTAAAGACCAAGCTGGCTACATAAAAAAGTCAAGAATATACATTTAAAACAAAAAGGAAAAGAGGAGAGAAAAGGAAAGAAAAAAGAAACCAAGGAAGAGATGACTCAAGCTTTAACAAAAAGTAATAAAACAAATCAAGTAAATCACATGCTTGTAATGATTTTCAGAGACTAACACTTCTGACTGAAGAAGTAAATTAAGCAAACTAGTGTCTGGTGCCTCTGAAACCACAGGCAGGATGACAACGTAACTGGATTTAAAGACAGAAAAGTAGTGGCGCAACATCAAACAAAGCAGATTTAGGTGGCAGAAAAAAAAGTTGCATCCAATTTTCATCCATCCAAGAACAACTAGAAAACTTTTAGAATCACAAACATTGTATTGCTGTTTTTAGTTTAAACAATGCTTGAGATTTTTTTTCCTGAGTATTCCAGTTCTTAACTGAATTTTTCTCATGATTATAAGCATGCATGACAAAGAGCCTCAAAATGTTACTGAATCATTTAATTAATACTTTTCTGCACATTTCTTTTCCCTGGCAAGACACAGGCAAAATCTGTTCACTTGGGAAAAGTGAACTCCAACATCAGTAACAAGCACATTTTTATTGTTTTTCGCTGAACAAAAATGTCAACTTACAAACAAACAGATAGAAATAATGAAGAGAATTTTGCCATAAAGGACTGTGGTCTTTCAGAAGTAACAGGGTGATTCTTATTGTCTCCTAATGGAAAGGAAATTCTAGTCAGCAGCTGAGGACTCAAAGAATCTCAAACTACGAAGAAATTTTAAAGTATTTGGTTTTGTCTGAGAATTAAAAATGAAGGAAGAGGAGGCAAAGCAGGAACACATTTCAGATGTTGGCTATTTGACTATTAAAACACTACAAAAAATATTCTTCAGTTTTATCATTAACAACAAAAATATTAATTTGGATACAAGGTTCAACACATCAATAACACTAAAAACTCAAAATATTCCTTTTTAAGAATTTTTTTTTAATTTCACTTTAGCAATAAAAATAAAGGTTCAGTTATTTAGAAACGATTATGTGCCCAAGTTCCATTGATTTCAAAGCATTTAAGCACTTAAAAATCCTTAAAAAATTAAAAACAAAGTCTACATAATAGATCATTGTATCAAACATCATTGTATCAAACATCAAAATAAAGAAAAAAACAGTCTAACTTCCTGTTCATTAGAAGCACTGCATAGTGAATTATGCAACTAGAAAACCCTTCCATATTCTGCCAAACCATGGCAAAGGAAAAAAATATGTCTGTCTGTTGCTAATTAGCTTCAATAGTATGAGTTTGTTGAGGCTAATTTAACCCACAGCATGTAAAAAACAATTTTGACCCTTTGTTTTCCAAAGTCTTATTAAGATACAGAAATTTGTCTGTAGTCATCATTAAAATCAGAAATATTCAAAGTGAAGTAAATGAGTTAACCTGAAGCTATACATTGTCAGATATGCAAAGAAATCCATTTTGGATTAAAGAATTTAGAAAAATACTTTTTCAAGCATATTTAATTTATGTTTGTCAAGTTTCAGTGTCACTGGATCTTCATTTTCGGAGTCAGTTCCCCTTCTGCTTCACATGGGCCTTTTATGCAGAAAATGGAGGAAAAAATCTTTTTGAAACAACAGGATAAAGAGCTAGGTATATTTTTTAACATACTACGTGCAACTAACAGAGAAAGACTAGACATCAAATTGAGGATGCCTTTCCTCCCCCCTCACATGGTGGAAAACACATAAGAATGCTGAAGAATAACTTGCAGAACCATAGCTTAAGTCCATGGGTGGCTCTGACAACAAACGAGAAAGAAGTTGGAACCTGAAGTAATTTACTACAAAGTTTGGGTTCTGAACAGTAAACAAATAAACATTAGGCAGAAATTTTGATTCCTCCAGCACGGGCAGAAAGACAAAGATTAGCAGTAATAACTTTGGCTATGGTGGCACTGAATAAAGAGAAATATTTGGAAATTCTGCTCGGTTCACAGTGTCATTCAAACCACGCAATGAATGAGTTCTATATTAGTTCTACATTAGTTTAAACTCTCACTTTTGAGAGTTTAACTTTTCTTTAGGTTTAATCCTTCATGGAACTCTATAGGGGATACTTTTCTAATGCAGCAAAGCGAGCTTATATTATAAACAAAAACCCTAATAGACAGACTTCTATGCCTCTGCAACAAAAGAGGCAACAGTAGCAATGCTCATTTAGGTGTTAATGACAGAACCTTACCACACATAAAATTCCCAGGGGATCTGTGCATATCTACCAGACTCAGACATATCAGCATTTAGAAAATTAAAACATAATCCACTTTTACAACAGCAAGACAAACTCTTGTCAGCTTTTATCCAACTAGTGCAACGAAAGCTACTTTTGACCCCGTGTTACCTCTGACTACTCAGAAGAACAACGTACCATTCTGCCACTGGTTTGGCAATGCTGTCAAAAACCACATCTTGTTTAGCCTCTTGATCAAAAATTTTCTGAAATCTGAAAATATTAGGCAAATAATAATTGTTCAGAATCTTAAAACACTACTTGATTCATACATTTTTGTTTTTGTTTGTAATAGTCAATGTTTACATCATTAGGCTTACATAACTTAGTACAATGTTTTCACTGTAGTCTTACCCACAGCATGTCGTTGTGCTATTGTATATAAATAGGCTATACACAGTGCTGCTTTGATGAGATCTGTACAATAAAATCCTCTGATAAAATGATGTGGCTTGGAAAAAAAATAAAACGTATTTTAGATCTATCAAGAGAATCAGTGTTCGTAACTGGCACCAGACTAAAACCTGGATAAATAGATTACACTATAACCAAATACAGCATCCCACCAGTATCGCCAGGCTCACATTTTTTCATAACTCTTTCCTTCATTCTGTTGCACACTTACCATATGTAAGACAGAAGGAGATATTTAACCCAACCTAAGTTCTGTCCCCTCCTATATAAAAAACTGCAACTATCTTATAGAATCATAAAAACACAGAACTGTTGAGGTTGGAAGGGATCTCTAGAAAATCAACTAGTCCAACCCCCATGCTCTACGCAGGGGCAACTACAGCAGGTTCCTCAGGGTCGGGTCCAGTCGGGTTCTGAATATCTCCGAGGATGGAGATCCCACAAACCTCTCCGCGCAACCTGTTCGCGTGTTTGACCCCCCTCACAGGGAAAAAACTTTTTTCTTATGTTTAAATGGAATTTCCTGTATTTCACTTTGTGCCCGTTGCCTCTTGTCCTTTTACCAGCCACCACCGAGAAGACTCTGGTTCTGGCTTCTTTACCCGCACTGCCATCAGGTATTTATACACATGGATAAGATCTCCCTCAGCCTTCTCTTCTCCAGGCTCAACAGGCCCAGCTCTCTCAGCCTCTCCTCATATGTCTGGGGAGACCAGAACTGGACACAGCACTTCAGAAGTGGTCTCACCAATGCAGAGTAGAAGGGAAGGATCACCTCCCTTGACCTGTCGAGTACACTCTGCATAATACAGCCTGGGATACCACTGGCCTTCTTTGCTGTGAGAGTTCTTTGCTGGCTCATGTTCACCTTGTCCACCAGGAGCCCCCAAAGTAGCAAAGCTGCTTTGCAGCAGGTCAGCCCCTATCTGTACTGGCGCATAGGATTATTCCTCCCCAGGGGCAAGACTTGGCATTTCCCTCTGTTGAACTTCAGATATTTCTCTCTGCCCCTTTCTCTAGCCTGTTGAGGTCTCTCTGAATGGCAGCTCAATCATCTGATGTATCAGCCACTCCTCCCAGGTTTGTATCATTTGTGAACTTGCTGAGGGTGCACTCTTCCCCATCATCCAGGTCATTAATGAAGAGGTTAAACAGTATTAGACCCCAGTATCGACTACACTACCAGTGACTGGCTTCTACCTGGATTTCATGCTGCTGTTCATAACTCTCCAAGCTCAGCAGTTCAGCCATTTTTCAATCCAACTCCTTGTCCACTCATGTAGCCCACATTTCATCAGTTCATCTATGTGGACTTGATGGGGGCAGTGCCAAAAGCTCCTTGTTCATCCATGCAGGCCTCCTGACACCTTTGTTTGATTTCCTGCTTATCAGGACGGACTGACCGTTCTCGAGCTCAAGGAGGTGATCCTTGAACATCAACCAGCTTTCCTGCATCCTTCTTCTCTCCAGGACCATATTCCATAGGATTCCTCCAACCAGTTGCCTTAAACAGTTTAGTCTACCCCTCCGAAGTACAGGGTTGTGATCCTGCTTTTTGCCTTGCTCCCTTTTCTTAGTATCCTGAATTCCATCATCTCATGATTGCTGCAGCAAAGGCTCTCCCCAGCCTTCATATTCTTGATTAGTTCTTCCTCATTTGCAAGAATGTGGTCCAGCACAGCATCACCCATTAGCTCCTTGATCACATGTCAGGAAGTTATCATCAGCACAGCCCAGAAACCTCCTGGATTACTTGTGCCTTACCATTGTTGTCATGTTGTCCCTCCTATATGAAAGTGTCAAATACCATTTCACAGGGTATTTAGAAAGGCATCACAGTCTCCAAGGTATTATGCAGCATGTACAACTACTCAGACAAGCGCATTATACAAAAGGCAGAGGTAAATACTTTATCCTGCAAACCTTTAATCAGCCAAGTCAGTCAACAAATTCTGTGTGGCACCCAGAGAACAAAATAAGAACGAAGGCGAATAATAATTGAGATGACCAGGATACAAAGAATGCATGAAAAATGAGGGTTTGAGGAGGAAAAAAATAAATGCTTACTCCATAGCGTTATATAACCAATTACTTATTGCCATAAGGATTATAAGGCATAGTATTTCTCAGGATCCATGTTATAGACTTTTTAATAAAGTCATAAAAAATGTCAGCATTCCTTACAGCTGGCTTGGGCATCTGCAACCCAAGCTAGTCTTGCGTATTCATCTAGTTAAAGAGGGCAGCTCCTCAATTCCAAAGGAGAATAGATTTCCTTAGCTGACTTACAATGACATCAGTTTGAGTTGCAGATGTTTATCAGATGCACTCTTTTTTAGTAGCATAGAATAATTAATTTGAAGACCTACAGATTTTGTACAATAGAAAATAAAGAATTTTCAACTTGGAAGAAGACATCATCAGCTTATTCCTTAAATGTGGTTATACATTTAACTGCATTATCAAAATTTTAAAGTATTGCCTCCAATTTTCTGTCAAAAAGATGAAAATATTTGCTGGATATTGCTGGTACTTATTTTTAGTTTCTAAAAAATATTTACATTCTAGTGTGATTGTTTTGTTTCTTTTAACAATCCCTGGTTTTCTTTATAATGTTTTGGTTATGCCTGAAATCAACAAGTTCTAAATAGAGTGTTTTACACCAAGATATCTTTAGCCAGCCTATGCCAACTCATTAGGTCACATGAGAATAGGTCATGTGACCTATGCCTACTCATTAGGTCACATAGTCCTGCATTTGCTTTTCACAGGCAAACTTAAAGCAAGCTGTAAGAACAGAAGAACTGATAATTGAAAACGCAATGTTTGAGACAGGACTCAGAAAGGTATAATGACATGCAATGCATAAAGAAAATATATATATATATATATATATATACACACATGTATATACACATATAGCCTCAACTAACAAACTCTATCAGGTGCAGAACAAAACATGCTGCAATATTCCTCTTGTTGAAAGAGCTATACAAAAATAAAGCTAATTATATGAAAAATTAATCTTAAGAAAAGGCTTTTTCTGATTCCGTACATGTGAATCACTAAAAATAGTGGTATCAACCACCGCAGCCAAAAGCCAAATATAAGGTTTTTACTTACTTGAACTTGTAGCTTTCTCGTTTATTATTGACAAATCCATCTGCTAAATCATGTGGCACAATAATTTCCAGACTTGACATGGATTTCTCATCGTCTTCAACAGAATAGATCTAATAAATGTGGATACGAATTGACAGAATGATTTTACCAATAGTACAGTATTACGTATGTTACATAACACATGTATAACATGCTTTACATATAACTCACATGAACTTGGCATCTGTAACTGCTGAAAGAATAGCTTCAAACAAATTTCAGAATCACATCGTATACCATGGCTAATCAGTATCTCAAAATAACATAGCAGACCAGCACAGTTCTGCCGACTTTAAAAGCCCTTACTATTTGAGTAGATTTTCCTTCAGCTATTATACAAGACTAATACTAGCTTGTTTGTTATCATGTAAACACCACAGCAAGATTTCAAAAGATATGCAGCCTCTTTGACAAGTCTTTGACAAGACTTGCTAGTAAACTGCTTACTATCTGAGCTATTATAGAAAAGCAAAGCACGACACCCAAAGCAACGCCCCTCCCCAAAGACCTGGGCGAATCTATTAGGAAAGACTAGGACGGATTGAATGAAGCTTGTTTAAAAAGAGAAGACAATAAAGAGACCTAAACTCAGTATTTGTGAGGAACGGTTTCAGTATTTTTATTATTCCTTCCAATGAAAGCTAAATGCCGCGGGCTGCACGTCCCGTTTCAGCATCGATAACGCTGTCTCGCTGTCCTGGGGAACCTGAGCAGAAAAGCGGCTCCTTGCCCCCCCACCCCCTCCAAAAAAAAAAAAAATACAGCCGCGGGTTTTGCGCGCCCAGATGTTGTTAACTTCT